CAACGCCTTAGACGAACTAGCTGTATCTGCCGACCGCATTCTAGAAATTACGAAACCTTCTACTACCGAGGTATTTTCAGTCAAAGAAAAGCCTCACACGACTCAGAATGACATAACCGACTTATGTCACACACTCACGCGTTATCTTAGTCTTCGTACCGACCGTAAGAGATCGCGCACACCACGTAGAAGCATTTCTCGTAAGCGATCTGTCTCTAGACCACGAGAGACAGATAACCCCGACTGGTGCTGGTATCATAACCAGTATGGAAAGTTTTCCAGAAATTGCAGAAAACCCTGCAATTTTCCCAACACGAAACCGACTGATTCGAAAAACAATTCGGGAAACTTCCAAGCCGGCACGCGTTAACGGCAACCGTAGCCGGCGAACAAAGCCGTCTGTTATTCGTCACAGATGTGACAACGAGAGTTCGCTACCTCGTCGACACTGGCGCAGAAGTTAGCGTTCTCCCAGCAAATCCTAACGACCGACTTCACGAATCGACCCTAAACTTACAGGCGGCAAACGGAAAACCGATCGCTACGTATGGCAAAAGGTACGTTTACCTTAACGTGGGTTTACGCAAACCCATCCACTGGATTTTCGTCGTTGCAGATGTTTCTATGCCAATCATTGGTATGGACCTTCTACAACACCACAATCTGATCATCGACACTCGCAAACGGAGGCTAGTAGACGGAAACACTAATTTGTCCGTTTGCGTAACTTCTTTTACTGGTTGTAGAGTATCCCCAGTCACAGTTAAACATATGATAGACCCACTCTATCAACCACTACTCGATAAGTACCCTGGGATACAACAAACTCAACGAAACTACCGTGTGTAACCAGCAATGTTACACATCACATCACGACTACAGGACCACCTGTATTCTCTAAAGCACGACGACTAGCTCCTGAAAAGCTAAGGTTAGCGAAAAACGAATTCGATCACATGATGGACTTAGGAATCATACGACCGTCAAGTAGCCCATATGCATCTCCGTTGCACATGGTCCCTAAAAAGGACAGCAACGATTGGCGTCCAACTGGTGACTATCGGCGATTGAACGCGAAAACCATTCCCGATCGTTACCCGTTGCCTCACATTCACGATTTGACAGCTACCTTGAAAGGTACAACTGTCTTTTCGAAAATCGACTTGGTTAAAGCGTATAACCAAATCCCTATGGCTACTGACGACATACCGAAAACAGCTATCATAACTCCCTTCGGACTCTATGAATTTTTGCGAATGCCTTTCGGTCTAAGGAATGCTGCTCAAACATTCCAAAGATTCATAGACGACGTTTTTCGAGGTCTCAACTTCGTACACGCGTATGTTGACGACTGTCTAATCGCAAGTCCGGACAGAGAAACACATCTCAAGCATCTGGACCTTGTTTTCGAACGATTACAAAAACATGGCATAACTGTAAACGTTCAGAAATGCCAATTTGGAACCGACTCGTTAGACTTTCTGGGACACACTATCGATGCTCAAGGTATCCGACCCCTTAGAACCAAAGTGGCGGCCATTCTGGATTACCCAGAACCGACCACCGTCAAGCAATTACGCACGTTCAACGGCCTGGTAAGTTTCTATAGACGTTTCATACCCAAATGCGCATCACTTATGAAACCTCTGACCGACCAACTTCGTGGAAATGCGAAATCCATTAATTTGGACGACACCGCACGAAAAGCATTCTCCACAGTCAAGGAACTGATTGCTAAAGCAACAATGCTCGCACATCAGGACACCCGAGCACCCATTAGCATCGCAGTAGACGCATCCGACTCAGCAATCGGAGGAGTCTTACAACAATGGGTTAACAACTCCTGGCAACCCTTGGCATTTTTCTCTAGAAGGTTGCTAGACACCGAATCGAGGTACAGCACATTCGGTAGGGAACTCCTAGCTATGTATTGTGCTGTACGGCATTTCCAACACTATATCGAAGGCCGTGAATTCACTCTTTTCACGGACCATAAACCGCTCACTTTCTCGTTAAGCTCTCCTTCTGACAAGTACTCTCCCCGTGAGTCTCGACAACTGGACTACATTTCGCAGTTTACTTCAGATATTCAACACATCTCTGGAGCAAACAATGTAGTTGCAGACGCTTTATCTCGCATAACTTCCTTGAACAGTTTCCAAGGAATCGACCTTCTTAAACTCGCCGAGCTTCAAAAAGAAGACAGTGATCTTCAGCACGAGTTATCGTCCACAACACTTAAACTACGCATCAAACAGATGGGAACAGGTAAGGAAACCTTACTTTGTGACACATCTACAGGTAGGGATCGCCCAATCGTGCCGAAACATTATCGACGCAATGTCTTCAACACATTGCACAAACTTTCTCATCCAGGTGTTCGTGCAACCATCAAGCTTATAGCAGAACGATTTTGCTGGCCTGGCATGAATAAAGACGTGAGGGAGTGGGCACGCTCCTGTGTAAGCTGCCAAAAATCTAAGGTTATCAGACACAATAAATGTCCCTTAGGCTCGTTTAAAACTCCCGATGCTCGTTTCGACCATGTTCATCTGGATTTGGTAGGACCTTTACCAGATTCAAATGGATACTCTTATCTCTTAACCTGCGTAGACCGTTTCACTCGATGGCCAGAAGCAGTACCTATCAAGGACAGCACTGCTGAAACAGTGGCCCGCACATTCGTCGAACGATGGGTAGCAAACTTCGGTTGCCCTTCAACCATCACTACAGACCGCGGACGTCAGTTTGAATCTGATCTTTTCCGTCGTCTGACCACACTTTTAGGAATCACTCGCTTCCGAACGACCGCCTACCATCCCCAAGCAAACGGGTTGGTAGAACGTTTTCACCGACAACTGAAAGCTTCGCTATCAGCTGCAAACGTTTCACAATGGACCGACGCTCTTCCACTCGTCTTACTAGGTATCCGCAATGCAGTGAAAGCTGACATTGGATACACTGCGGCTCAACTCGTTTATGGAACGACACTTCGACTTCCAGGAGAATTCGTGGATCCTTCGTGCTCTTCGATGAACATGGATCTAACCTCCTACACGAACAGGCTTACAAACGCAATGCGTTCAGTTAAACCTGCTTCCACTCGACCTCAATCAACTGATGTTTTCGTTCAACCTGACTTACCATATAGTACACACGTTTTCATTCGTCGAGACTCGCATCGACGACCATTCGAATCAGCATACGAAGGACCCTTCAAAGTTCTTCAACGTGAATCTAAGTACTATATAGTCGATAAGAACGGAACCAACGATAGCATCAGCATCGATCGCTTAAAAGCAGCGTATTTAGAAGGAAATCCTATCCACGTCGATTTTCCTTCGGTACAATCGAACGACACGACTCAGACACTAATAATACCTCATCCGACAACCAACACACACGAAGATACTTCGACAGTATCCGAAAATAAACTTAAAACGACGCGTTCTGGAAGAAGGGTGAGATTTCCAGAACATTTAAACGACTATTGCACGTAAGGCACTTCTCGACATTTTATATTATTTTTTTTAAAAAAAAACAATTTTAATATGCTTATATATTTTTATTTCTATTAAAAAAAACAAAAAAAAACAATTTTTTTAACGCTATTACGTGCTCATGAGTTTATTTTCCTTTTTTCCGCCGACCTTGTGTTTTTACGCATATACGAGTGTATTTTCGACATGCACTTACATTTTCTTTTTTCTTTTCCAGGACGGCTGGAAAAGAACGATGACGTTTATGAGGATCCGAAATTTTCATTGTACATTTTCTTTTTTTACTATGTTGTACCTCCGTCCCATATAGTAAGGAAAGACGACCAGACGCTGCTAAATTTAGTAAGCTATCAGAAGAGTGTTTACCAACGACAAACTCGTTGGGTTTAAACTTCTGGCTGGCCACGTCTTAGGGTCGTCACTGCCCCACTAGGGGGGGAGTGATCTGTAGCGGTAAATAAATCCCTAAAATAAATAGCTCTGTAAGTTTTCGACATTGGATGCTGACCATATGTTTTAGTGGACTCATCTAGCTGAAGGCGCTCGGTCAGGCATCCGCACCAGATCACGTGTAGTAACGCCGTGCTCAACATCAACCACAATCGCTAGCCAGATTAGATCAGAGAATCCCGGTATATTGGTCATCGCCAAATATACTCTTCCGATCTCCTCGACTCTGTCTTTTGATTTCTCTTGGTGGGAACGAAATATATTAGAAGGTGTTACTGGTAGAAGCGTTGTCAAACACTGAATACCTGTGACATCAATACGTGCATTCAACAAAATTGTTATAGGTGGCACAATATTCCCCAACGAACACATAAACAAGCTACCTAAATCTCACTGAATCACACTAAAGAGAGTCAGACTGACCATATTTGCACCACTAAAATACTCAAAAAGTCAATGGAGGGAGTGAAAACCAGGAAAGGAGCAGTCATAACTCTAGATCACCTGGTAGTTGCCACGATGAAACTGGCAGTATGGATATGAGAACCTTATGGAACCTTCTTTGGGACTGCAAAGTGAGTGCCTGAGGAGGTCTTCAGCACCATACGGAATTTACACGACGAACTACACTGCAAAGTGGTGCATGGAGGTCAGCTGGCAGACGCATTTCAAGTGAGGACCGGAGTCAGACAAGGCTGTCTACTCACGCCTTTTCTCTTTGTCCTGGTGGTCGATTGGATTCTGTAGGCCACCACATCTGATAAGAAGTACGGAATGCAATCGACAGCTTGGATGCAACTAGACGATTTTGACTTAGAGGATGTCCTAACTCTTCGCTGGTGCTAAATGAATACCACAATTAAGTCTACGACGGTTTTTATTCTCTCCAACTACCTGTTTTTCTAACTAAATTAACCGAGTAAGGTGAGACAAGTGGAACATATCTTCTCTTCTAAATATTCGGCTTAGTCATTTTTCATTCACACATCTAAACTCCCCATCAATATATGGTTCCTCTCAAAACTTATGGTATTCATAAATGTTTGTTTTCGACGTTTCATACTTCAAGAGCTTTGATGTCAGCAGAACATACTAAATAGTCAATTCACTGTTTCTCCTCGATAAACTTTTCAGTGTATGTCGTAGTTTGAACACTCTACTACATGCTCAATAAGCAATCTCAGAAGCACATATTTTGAAGTAGTTGTCTACAGTAAACTTAGCCATACATACTCATAGGTAAATGACTTCGCAGTGAACACTATGCAAGACACAATTTCTCAACCCAAGCGGAATAACTATATGAGAAGGCCAAAAGAATTAATTGACAGACGTTTTTGGTTATTGTTCCGAAAGCTCTAATTCAGGTTAAGGATAACTAATGGATTTATTCCTTTTCTAAAGTCAGTTACTAAACTCACTGCAAGTTGCATTTAAAAGCATCTCTTTCGGTTCAAAAACTCACCAGTGACATCACTGTAGAGATGCTTGTTCAGAATGATAGTGTAAAACAAAACAACAATAAAGACGGTGATCCCCAGCCGATACATGCCTCTGTTGAGAAGCAACAGTATCCAAAAAAGAAGGCTGCCCGGAGCTCCAAACATTCTCATGCATCTCGGGGTGGCGATCGTCCTCGTCAAAAGTCACTGAATACAATGTTTTGTGGGTGTCTGGTATCCGGATCAGAATGTGGTAATACAATGGAGCATCCCCCACTTGATAACAACCGACGACTTCTTCCTACCAGTGCTATCCAGTCAATGGAATCTCTTAGCATTTCAAAAAATGCAGGTTCACAGTGTTTTCAGCCATCCCAAGTATCTAATGACTCAGGTTCAATTAAACTGCAACCAGTTGTTAACTTACCTTCTTGTGCTCTTATAACAGATGCTTTGCTTTCACAAACCAAACGGGCAAGTACAGTTAAGATAGGTGCACCTTCCAATGGAGTAAAGCACTCAGGTTGGCACAGTTTTAGATTTAGTCGTAAAAAGGAGTCAAATTTGTCCAAGACAAAACAACGTGATTCCACGATAAGGATATCAGTTACCAGGCCCTTAAAAAGCGATATTTCCCACCCTGAAGCAGAACAACAGTCAGAAACAGTTCAATCTCTTGTGTTCTCACCATTACCAAACCAAGCAGTACTGGAAACAGTAAATTCTGGAGAGGTGAGTTATCTGGATATTTGGTTGTTGCTTTATTCCGCCTAGTTAACAACTCGACTCTACTAGTTAACATTGAGTAATTATTGTTCCCCAATTCACTTAGCTTGTCATCTATCTTCAAAAATATGAGACGAGCAAAGTTAGACGCTCATACTTCTAGTCATCTGTGAATTTTACCACAAAATATTGTTTGTATCTGGAGTCCAAGCTACCCTTAAATCGGATGATGTTTCTCAAATTAAAGCCAGTGACGCAGACATTATTGTCTGAATATTAAATAATACAAATGTTTTTTCTCTATCCATCCCTTTGCTTTCACCTTGGTCCCCCAACTACTGGTTCCTAGCATTGAATGTTTTACCATTGTGATTAACATTTGGAAACTAGTTTTCTACTGTATAGCCCTGTAATCTTGAGTTTTTCAGCGTGTTTTGGTGACGTCAACCTCCAAATAGTTCAGATTGTAGCTTCATGTTTCGATTCATTGTAACACACCGTTGTTTGTCCAGTTAAAAGTTGGAGATGGGTCCTACGGGCTACTTATCAAATACCGTTTTTCTTGGGATTATCCACAGTCACTAGTTGTACTTCACATTGTATAAGGTGGCCGACCTCTGGAAACTAACCCGCAGATTTAAATCCGCCGTTCAACATAAGGAGCTAACTCAAATTAAGGGTGTATAAAATGAAATTCAATTCACTAAGTTTCGTATGCTAGACAAGTAATAGCATCCCTCGGGAGAAATGTTAGTGCTACTGAGTTCTCTTAACTAAAGCAAACTGAAAGCTTGTAAATAAGTGATTGGAACTCAAAAACTGGTCACTAATGCGGTAGTTTTATTTATTTATATGGATACAAATATTGATACAAAGGGGCATCGAATTCATACGCACCACACAAGTCACTTGATTTGTATGTGGACTGTGGTACTTCCCGAGTACCCAGACCGAACTGGGTGGTTTTCTTAGAAGGCCACAGCTGGAGCCCTTGACCTAGAGGCCTCATCCACAAGGCAGTGGAGATGCTTTCTTATGGTAGCCAGTGACCAATAATTGGTTCATACACCATTTGTTCCCTCAGGATCCTGGAGCCCATTGGTTTGGAGTCAGGATTTTCCAACCCCTCTAGGTGGACTCACCGTGTCCACCAACCTGGTTAAAGCGCCAGAAAATCGCTTTTCGTCCTCTCAGTTTCGTAAATAAAACCCTCGACACGAGAAGGCAGTGAATGGGACCTCCCTGGCAATAGCTGTAATGAGGTAAGATCTAGTACTTAAATGTATCAACCTAAGTTGCTACTCTTCACACCAGTACAGCATAACATATGTATTGAGAAAAGCAAAGAATAAAGTAATAACTAGTCAGTGAAAAAAAATAAAGGTGGGGAGAATGTCTTAAGCAACAGATAGTATTTAGGGAGGAAATGAAAGTAAATTAATAATGCTATATTTGAGTTTATAAGAAAGGCAGGAAATGTATTCATTGGCAACATTAGCGTATATGCTAGACTATACATTCATTCTGTGCACACATTATAACCAGGTCTTACAGCTTTTATTTATCTAGGTGTAATAACGAAGTAGCTCGTATACGTATTAAATTACAGTGAACATCGCATATATTAAACCTTTTAAGGAAAAACCATTTAGTGTGGTGTAACATGCAGATTCAATACCGTCTAGTAAATTTCTTTATTTACTATTATTTACCACTAAAAAAGTATCGTACAGGTTCCACATTTAAGCTCAGTAATTTTCTGTTTTATGGCAATCTTACTTCTCACCATAAATGTAAGTTTACTTATTATAACACTCGTGAAGTAAGCTATTGCACGTTATCATTTGCATTGTATTAACTAAATTATATATACACCTAGTTCTAAATCTTGAGACTTTCTTACTTTTATTTTCCCTCAGCAAAAGGCTGCGTTGCTTGGACCGAAAAGTGAAACAGACAAAAGCAAAAAGTGTTTTGTAATTGACTTGGATGAAACTTTGGTGCATAGTTCATTTAAAGTAAATTTATTTTCCATATATATATATATATATATATATATATATATATATAGGTAATTAACGGCTAATTTATCAGTCAGTTCACTATTGAGACGTATATGACTCGTACTTGGTTTAAAGTTTTATTTTTATTTTATACACCAGACTTTTTATAGCAAATGACATCAAACGTAGTTTGGATTGCCATATTTTACTGTTGGTTTTTTATATGCTTTTTGATTTCATATTTTACACTGCTGTTAGTACTCATACAGTAACCTAAATTTACCAACTTCTCGACTGCCTACTTGCATTTATTCGCTTCATGAGGTTAAGGAATTAGAGGACTATTAGTACACTCACGTCCTGAATGAAAACCAACACAATTTGCGCTTTTTATACTACCTGGAGAAGCCCTGGAGGGGTTGGAAACCTTCACGTACCTGGGCAGTTTCATCGATAAACAGGGGTGATCTGATGCAGACGTAAAGGAAAGGATTAGCAAAGTAAGTACAGCATTCCTACAACTGAAAAACATATGGAACTCGAAACAAATGTCAGCCAACACCAAAGTCGGAACCTTTAATACGAACGTCAGGACAGTTGTGCTATACGGAGATGAAACTTTAAGAACTACCACATTCATCATCAAAAGGGGATAGGTGTTTATAAACAATTGTCTACGTAAGATACTCAATGTCCGTTGACCGGATACCATCAGCAACAAATTAGTGTGAGAGAGAAAAAGCTTACTTCCAACTGAGGAGGAAATTAGGAAAGGACACTGGATGTGAATAGGACATACATTGTGGAAACCAGCAAGTCGCATCACATGACAAGCGTCAACCTGGAATCTTGATGTGGAACGGAAAAGAGGGAGACCGAATAACACACTGCGTCGGTAAATGGAAGCAGATATGAAAAGGATGAATATCAACTGGAAAAAACTGTGAAGCGTTATCCAGAACAGAAACAGATGGAGAAAGCTGGTGGCCGGCCTATGCTCAACGAGTGGTAACAAGTGTAAGTAAGGGTAATACAGAGGCAGTCACTGGGTTATAGTACCCCAATGATTTCCTCATACGTTAGGCAAGTCCTTTTTAAAATGTGGTAATACTTAATTGAAGTTTGACGAATTAATTCATTCTTCGTATCACTTTTAAGAATGTGGTTGGTCCTCTGAACAAACTGTCACCTCTTTTTGCGTCACTCACCGAAGTCATCAATCTTTAGCTCGTTTCAAGAACCAGGTTTCATGATCTTAATAGAGTCTTTGCCCTCGTGAATTTGTGCAAATGGTTGTTTTTATTTATTTATTTATTTGAACATATAAATATTGGTACAAGAGTGCGCCAAATATATATGCGCCACACAAAACAATGAGAACTTAAAGAGAAGGAAAAAGAAAAAAGGTAAGGAGCGTTAAAAAAAAGAACGATAACGAAGAGATTGGTGTAAGGTAGTGCAATAATAATAGTAATAATGGGGGAACGGAAAGGTACAATCAAAAGAAATCTTTCAGTTAAGGAAGATACAACCACGTTTTACGAAGGAAGTAAAAGAAGGTTACAGCATGATCGCCACTGGCATCTATTCTGAGCCATATCTGATAACGTCTCTAGCCACTGTGTAGCACCATCTCTCAGACCCCAACCAGGGAGTCGTGAAGGACCAACAGAAGCCAGTCCTTTGCAGCTTTCTTTCATACCACGACACCATGTCATGCACTGACCACCTCTCCGCTTCTTCCAACCAGTCCCAGAGTCGGCAAATAATGCACGACGTGGAATTCTCTGGGACGACATTCGTAGAACATGTCCAAGCCACCGAAGTCGGTGTTTCAAGATGGTGACACCAATTGCATTATCGTCTCTGTGCCCAAACACACGATGCCGAACCTCTGCATTACTAACATGGTGTTGCCACTGGATGTCAGCAATCCTTCGGAGACAGCGATGATCGAACACAGAGTCGTCTAACGTCCTCAACTCGGAGAGGCCAGGTTTCACAAGCATAGAGCAAAACTGCTCTCACCGACGCGTTGTAGATCCGACCTTTTACAGCCAGACTAACATCACGAAGGCGCCAAAGATGGCCCAGATTGGCATAAGCCGCTCTGGCTTTCACTATACGTGCATTGATCTCATCACTCACACCACCACCAGCACTTATGCAGCTACCCAGATACACGAACTTCTCGACTACTTCTATCTGCTCACCATCCAGGGTGAGTACAGGATTAGAATCCTGCCAGTCTTGTAGAAGTACTTTGCACTTCGAAGGTGCAAAGCACATACCATACCTACGGACACTGATTGCCAACTGATTAAGTGCGGATCGCATGCCTTGGGCATTATCGCACAGTAAGACAATATCATCCGCATACTTAAGGTCGAGAAGTCTTTCTCCAGGCAACAGATCCACACCGCCATTACTTACATCCATCAGAGCTGTTTCCAGAATGTCATCGATGGCAAAGTTGAAGAGGAATGGTGAGATTGGGCAACCCTGCCTAACCCCACTGCTCGAATGGAACAATGGAGAGAGGTGGTTGTATGCCCTCACTCTGCCTGAGGTGTTTTTATATAGGGCTTTTAGGATGTTAATAAACTTCTCAGGCACACCCTTCTTCAATAGACAATCCCAGAGAACAGTCCTGTCCAACGAATCGAAGGCAGCCCTGATGTCAAGAAACACTACGATTGTTGGCCTTTGATAAGTATGGCGGTGTTCTAACATTTGGCGGAGGGTGAAGATATGATCAATACATCCTCGACCAGAACGAAACCCAGCCTGCTCCTCGCGAGTCAATCTTTCTCGGGTTTTGAACAACCTACGAAGTATGACGGAAGCCAATAGCTTGGACGCAATCGGAAGTAGACTTATCCCCCGATAGTTGTTACAGGAACGACGTGAACCCTTTTTAAAGATAGGGACAACTATCGACTCATTCCATGACGTTGGTACACTCTCTAGTTCCCAAACCTTTGTAAACAACGTCGTCAATTCCTTAGTCAAAAAGTCACCACCATCTTTAAAAAGAGCCGGAGGTAAGTCATCTGGGCCAGGTGATTTGTAACGCTTCAAGAGTTGGAGTTCCTTGCGGACTTCCTCCTCGTTTGGTGGATCAGTCGTCACCGGCCATGGAGGGCAGGACAGTCTGACCGATGTTGCTGAAGCAGCAGGCCAGTTGAACTGCCCTTCGAAGAATTCTTGCTCAACGTCTGCTGGGGTTAACAGATGCGCATCAATAGGTTTTAGGGATTCTCATGAGAACCGGTTTTATGGAGGGAGATTTTTGCCAAACAGCAATCGACAAACTGCTTATTTAATACCTAAAGTTGTGTTGATCTTATCAAGTGGTGCTCATTTTTCCTATTAGTGGTTATACATTTTGAGTTAATCTGATTTCATGGGACTTACTGTTTATTGTTTTTTTTTCTACTTAGGTAATCGAACATGCTGATTTTAAAGTAGGAGTTGAAATAGATGGAGTCACACATCGTGTGTATGTTTTAAAGCGACCACATGTTGACCTCTTCTTGTCGACCATGGCCGATCTATATGAATGCGTACTGTTTACTGCTAGTTTAGCTAAGGTGAATTTTCTATTGAAAATTTGTTCATCTGTTTATTCGTTCACGTATTAATATTTTGATCTCCATATTCGTTCTCCGTCTACCGTATTTACCAATTATAATAATGATTTTCTATTCAAGTTAGGTCGACAAACATGAATGAACAACATGAGCAACAACAACCTTGGATAATCAATCGAATGGAACGTTAATAGGTACTGAGTGTTCCCATCATTCTATCCAGTCAAACGTATTAGTAAACCAAACTGTGTAACTTCGTTTGTGGATGAAGTTACTTGGTTCTATGACAGGATATTTGTAATCAAACGTGAAAACTTAAGAAAAACGAAGTAGTCATTTTATGGTTCTGGTAAGAAGCTATGACTTGTGTATTCGATCAACTTGATGGTAAAGTGTTTATGTACTGTTGGGATTCGGTCATGATCATAGAGCATCGTAAAGCAACTCAAGTTGGGAACTATATAGCACTGGTTTGCGACGGCCCAGTGGTATTGTACTGTATGAGAGCTAAACGTTTTGTATTCAGTTCCATGTATGAACTTACTTATGAATCGCTACCAAGTCTCTAATTAAAGAATACTTGTTCACTTTCCCAGTTTCACTGGTTCTCTATCTAGTATCAGTCTGTGGTAAATTATCTGCAAGTCGATTTTTTTCTGCTGACCTCAATAAAGACGAGGAACCATTGTTAGAGGGATAGATACAAAAATGTCTTCATACAGTGGGTTTACTATAGCTATAGGAAATCTGAAGCGAGGGAGAGCAACAGGCCCTGACAGATTTACTCCTGAGATTTTTATGGATGATGGTTCAGTATTAGCAGTGAGATTAACTGAGGTCTTAGGTAGAATTTAGGAACGACGTAATCCCATCTG